AGAGCTTTTCTTCAGGAATTTTTCCTCCAAAGCTTTCCACATCTTAATTGCAGAAGTCTCGTTCTTGTAGCCATACTTCTGCTCCCTGGAAAGACAAGATCGAATCGTGTTGCACGCCAAACGATTGATTGTTCCCCATTCTTTCTCCTCCATATATTCGGGCTTTTCTTCCTCAATGGCGATGTCTAGACCTTATTGGAATAAAGCGTCTAATACCTCGCCTTGCCACATGCCAAAATGACCGGATCCATCGAACAACTCCACCGAGAAATTTGCATTTGACATCACCCTCCTCACCGGTCCAGATGAAGAGCTTGATGTCTCAACTGATCTGTATTTTGGCATTTTAATTCTAACGAACAATATTCAATATCACGAACTGTATCTTTTCAGCAATGGAACCACCAGGATAACCTCAACCGAAGCTCTGATACCAATTGTTGGGGAAAACGGGTTATTTCTCACACGAACGTAGTTTTAAAATTGACCTAAAATGTCAAGATTAAAACCACCAAAGGTTGCACAGCGGATAAACCTGTCAAACTATTGAATATTGAAATACAATGGAAAAGAATCGAATAAAAACAATAAAGGAGAGAACACACCAAATTTACGAGGTTCGACGAGAATATCGTCTACTCCTCGGGCATCACACCGGATGATAACTTCACTATATCGCCAATATTACAACAAATGGAATTCTTTGGAATTCCCAAAGTGGGAGAATGAAGAATACAAGAGGAAGAGAGAACTTGTTTTTGGGATGATTTCTAATAGAAATACTTAGGCCTATTTATAGTTGAGTTTCAAGAACAATATGTTCAAGGTTTGGCCACCTACCAAAGAATTTTCCAATGTGTACAAGTTAGCCACCAAATATGAAATTCACATGTTCAAAGTTTGGCCACCAACCAAGATGAAATTTCCAATAAGTTGGCCACCAACCAAGATGAAATTTCCAACTTGTCAACTTAATTTCTAGACAAATCTAACAGTATGAGTATGTTATTAATGGGTCTACATTCTGGAGCGTGAATGTGGTTAGTGAAAGTAGTTGGGTTTGGAGAAGGATGTTGAAGTTGAGATTGATTGTGTTATCCTTGGATCTCTCTGGTTCTAGACCGACGGTTTCGGAGATTTGGAAAGTTGTGAGGCATAGAAAGAATAAGGTGGACTGGCATAGATTGGTGTGGCATAGATCTTATATTCTGAGGCATTAGGTCATTTCTTGGATGACCATTTTAAATAGGCTTCTTACAAGGGATAGATTGATGTCGTTTGGACTGATTGTGTTCTTTGTGGAAGTGGTTTGAAGTCAAGGGACCATATCTTCTTTGGCTGCCCTTTCTCAAAAGTTGTGTGGACTGGTGTGCTGCGAATTTGTCATTTGCAGAGAGCGGTGAGGGATTGAAATTGGAAACTCAGTTGGGCTGTTGTACGCCTGAAGGGTAAGTCTTTGCTTACGATCGTTATGGAAATTGCTTGGAACTCTTTTATCTGTTATGTGTGGAGGGAGAGAAATCTCCGCATTTTTTCAGCATACTCGTATACAGGTTGATGATATTATTCGATATATAAGGGAGGCAGTTAGGTGTAAATTGATAGGGATGCTCATAGATAGAACACGTTTCTTTGTAATGAGCCAAATCTTGTATAAGGGTTTGTTTGTTTTTGCTTTACTCGTTGTAAGGGGTTGATTGTTTGTAGTTTTGATTTGTTTCCGGGACAAATAAAGCTCATTTATCTAAAATAATTCAAATATATAGTTCAATGAATTTTTTGGTCACAATGTATTTTCAATACGTACTACTAAAATAAGATAAGTTTAAAGAATAATTACATATAATTGTTAATAAATTATATAAATTGTTATTGATTTATGTGATTGAATATTGCATAAAATGTTACTAAAATTATAATAATTTATATAATTTAATAATGTTTTATCTTCCACAAATGTTATATTTTTCATAGAAATTGTTGAATAATGTTGTAAGAGAAAGTCGAGGAGTCTATTAACATTAAAAAAAATCAAATGTAAGATATTTTTAAATAAATTTTTTGTTGATACAAAACCAAAGTGGAAAAGAGATTTCACTTTATATTTAAAAATTCGATCTAATTTAATGTTTTTGAAAAATTTAAAAATCTCGTATTTTAAAACTGGTGAGTTCAAACAAAAAAAAACCTTAAAAACAAGGTATAGGTGATCTCTCAAGTATCCCATTTTTATTATATTACAAGACTTAAAATGGAAAATGGCTGAAGGCGGGCAAAAGGATTGCAGAGAAGAGGGTTTAACACGTCGCTGATTTCACAGAGTAACAGAAAAAACATGTCAGTTTGTTGAAAGGTCACTGTGACTTAAAAGTGACATAATAATTTTGAGGGTTTTGAGTGGGAGCTAAGGAAGCTACGTTTCTCTCTACATTCTCGCTCATTTTTCTTTTCCTTTTCCTTTATTGTTTGTGTATGTATATTTTTATGTATGTATTGCTTTATTGTTTGTGTATGTATATTTTTATATATATATTAATATTAAATATTAATTAGTCTCTCGATTACAAGAGATTGTTATGTTGAGTCTTCCAACTATTAAAAGTTGTAAAATGATTACTTGACTATTTGTGTATTTCAAACTCATCATTTTTTGTTAAAAAACTGAAGATCGTCTGAACTAAATGTTCACTTGCTGACTGAGATATGATAAAATCATATTTTAATAATGTCTATTGGCACCATCGTTGCTTCTAAGCATTGTCTTGATGACATAATATTTCAAACACTGGCTTAATGATATACTATAAATGGAGGGATGATCCGAAAAAATATAGCTCAAACGATTCTAGAAATAGATTTTTTTTTATCATAATCAACAAGTTAATGTCCAACTTAGAAGGTCGTCAAATTTTTAATGAAAAATGACGAGCTTGAAACATATGAATGGTCAAGTGACCAATTTGTAACTTTTAATAGTCAGTGGATTCAACAAAACAACGTCTTATATTCGAGCGATCATTTTATAACTTTTAATAGTCGAGAGACTTGACAAAATAACGCGTTATTGTCGGGAGATCATTTGTGTATTTTACCCTAAAAAATTGGGTAACAAAATTTTATGTTAGTGCCGCTATGTCGTAGATTATTCAAAGTTTTCAAGCATGTGGTTGGAAAGCTTCGTCTCCTTATCCTCCAAGTATATAGAAAAGAGGTGGAGTTTAATAGTGGCATAGGTGTGCCAATTTTCTAGTCACGTGGTAATTTCTGTGAGAGACATAAATCCTTACAGCAAACGTTGCACAGATTTGTTAAAGATTCGCTTCATCTGATGATAATATCAGTACATGCATGCTCACCATCACCAGCACCAGTCCAATATACATCCAATGATAAATTTGGAATTTTTCAAAAATCTCTATTGAAAAAAAAACCCATCGTCGGTTGCATTAAAGAAATACTATAATAATCATTGAACTTGAAAGAAATTATCTTTGAAGAATAATGAAGGCTTTTTCCCCTAAATTCTTTCTGGTCTATCTGGCACTAATTTGCAGCAAACTAATCAGTTATTTCGTAAAGTACTATAGCATATATTAAAATTTTGTTTTAGTCTAGTCCATAAAAATTGCTTTGGACCAAACAAATTCTAGATTATCATTATTAGCTGATTTGGTATCTATGGGGATGATAGCAATGGTCCCAAACTATCTGGTGGGACAAGAAATACTGTCTTTTCCCATGTAGTTATCCACCAGTGTCAAATTATTATGCGCCATAGATATACCTTTTTCATGAAAAGGTGCAGCCTATTTATTAACATCTTGTAGAAAACCAGGAGAAGGATCCGGATCAGGTAAACAACAAAAACAAACACAAAATTGTAATGGAGATAAAAGGGGCTATTAAATGTAGGTTTTAAATCAAAAGGGTTATAACATGGTTTTTCATGTCATTTTAATTTAGTCAATTTTGAGAAAATCCCAGATGTTTGGATTCCGTTTCTTTTCTAAAAGAAAGATGCCCGTTCTTTTTTATCTTCAATGATCCTAAGTTCGGTTTTTTCCACTGCTGTCGTTAACACAACTTGCCCTAAAATGAAGTGATAGAAAGTTGTCACAATTGCGCTTAAACAATGTTCGTTTGATTCATTTTAATATGATTATGAGATAATACTGAGTTGGATAAATGTACACGTATTTATAGAATAAATTGTTCAAATTGGAGCCATCTCAAAATATATGTCACCCCATGGTAAAGTCACTTGTATAATTTGATATCCCCTTGTAGGCGCAATTCAACCTAAAATTGGAAACTCTTTAACTTTTTTAAAAGAATGAATTGGAATTTATTCGTTCTAATTTATAAATTAAAACTATATATGTAACATAGAATTCAAACTCTGGTTCATAACATTAATAGATTATAAGTTTATCAATTCGACTGCGACTTTGTCAATAATTGAACCGGAACTTAAGTAGTCGAATTATTGAGGAAATCGATAAGGAAATCAATAGACTAAAGATGAACGTATTTTTAATCCCAACATGCAGCGTACGTTACATCGACGATACTAATTAATAAACAAAAGATGCCTATCATTACTAAAACTACAATAATGCATGAATTAAACTCATTCCTTAGGCTGCTATTTTCTGACTTTCTGGACCTTTGCACACCCAAAAACAGCGGGAAAATTCATCTTAAGCCCATTGAAACAACTGATTATATTAATGCCAAATAGGCTAATCCAACTACTTGCAATCATGGACAAATTAAAGAACAAAAGGAAGATTTAGTTCTACAAATAATAAATATTAATTAACTTACTACATATAATATATTGCCGCCCTCAGCCCTCCTACAACATCACCAGTTAAGAAAAATATTTGTTAAGCTTTAAAAAAATACAGCAAACAATAATACTAGTTAATTACTAGAATTATGCGGCTTCAGTTTGAACATCAATGACAAGGTTATTTTCATTCGATTTGTTCTTAACAAAAGTTGTCAAGTAACGCTAATAGATCTGATGAATAGAGTTGTCGGCGATGACTTACTGTTATCTTCCAAACCCGGCCTTGGGGCGGCAAGTGTGAGTTCCAAATCAGGCGCAAGATTTGAAGACATGGATGTTGCCACTGCATTTGATGTTTTTAACTGAGAATCAACGTGCTGCAACTGCAACTTATCCAGCATGGCATGATGATGGTGATGGTGGGAATTTGACGTGTTAACATTAGGTCCAACCATGGTACTGCTTCGGACCTGTCATGTTGGGAACAAGAACCACAAGCATAAGATGTCTTGGTTTCGATAATATAATCTAAGATTTCGTCAATTGAATTGTAAAATTAGGGAAAGTATACCATGTCAAACAGGCTTGAACGTCGCTTCTTCTTGTTGAGAGTTGATTGTCGAAGAAAATATTTTTGAGCATGGCTTGCAACTTGGGTTGGAGTTCTTGTAGTAACAAAGTTTCTAGATATGCCTCTCCAGTCTCCTTTCCCTAGCTTCTCCAACCCTATTAGAAATACCCGGTGTTCCTCTTCTGTCCATGGAACTCCTGATGAATCCAATAATATTTCTGGTTATTTATCTATTTTCTTAGGGGGGGAGGGGGATCTCTGCAAATAGGACCTGAATCACATGCTCAAAAACACAGATGGTGAAAAACATTAAAGAAATCAACTGACCTTTTCTTCTTTCAGGAGATGGACCCATGAGACCATCAGAAAGATAACAAATGGAAGGTTTATCAGAATTGTCGTCCGTGGAGATTCTAGGAGAAGACAAAGAAGAAGAAGGAGAGGAGGAAGACGATAAGTAATCCATGGTAGAACACTTATAGAAGGCGACGGATGATGAAGATATGTCGAGTTGAACACCGAAGAGCCTAAGTCCGCCCACAACACTAGTGTTACCTCTAAAACTGGTGCAGGTCCTTGAATTATGGCCTATGTTTCCACAATGTGAGCATTTCCTGCCCATTTCTGTACAGAGAAAAAGCTAAACTTCTCGTACAAAACACACACACACCCAAAGAGAGAGAGAGAGAGAGAGATCAGAGAAAGAAGGAAAGAAAGAGAAAAGGATTAGAGAAAGGAAATAATAAATAAGAGATAGGTTCGATGGTATATATGATGAAGGAGTAGGTGTGGGGTTTATGAAAATGGAGGTATACCTAGATCAGGTGATTGGATGGTCATAAATTATTGTTGTATATATTTTTCCAACTTTGGTTCCAAACAAAATAAATTATACAATATTAAACTTCCCTTTCTAGATTTCTTATCTTATATTATCTCATGATCCACATCTTTCTTTTCTTCTTTTTCATCTATATATGGAGAATGGATGTAGCTGGCATGATATATATATTATAAGGTTTTTTTAATAAATAAAACATAACAACAATTGAGATTGAATAGAAGTCGTTAAATATTACTATTTATTAAAAATAACACTATAAATCAATAGAATTAAATCTATTGAAATCATTAAAAACATATTATCAAATATTGTAATTCAAAATTCTATTAAGATATTATTTTCATAATATTAAATTTTGAAGGAGGGCATGGCCCTCCACCCGGCATATACATATACGTATAAGTTGACTCTAATTGCTGACTTTGAAAAAGAATAGTATATACGAGCTAATAGTGCTTATAACTTTAAAATAAAAAGAAGAGAAAGTCAATAGTGTTCATTCATCTGGACTAACAAAAACCAACCAGAAAATTAATAATAATAATAACCTAGAGATATGGAAGAATGAAAGGGGGACAAGATCGTCCAATAGTTTGGAGGTGTCGGTAGTTAGACTTGGACGGCTTCAGAGAAGGGATAAGAAATATCATATAAAATCATGGGTTCGAAGCTTGATGTGGATCAACCATCCTAAATTAATGCGTTATAATAATATATTATCTAAAAAAATTGATTTTAAAATTATATAATAAATATTAATATTTAATTCATTAAATATAATCTCCATACATAGAATTATAAAAGTAAATCATACCCTTATTGTTATTGTCGCTGCCAATTTTGAGATATGATTGGGCTGGTTTAATTGATAAGATTAAACAGAATTTGGGACAGTGGTCGCACCGCCATCTTAGCCTATGTAGGCAAGCTGCAACTAATCAAGGGTACTTTGTTTAATATAACAAACTATTTGTGTCGTCAACTCGTGCTTCCTCAAATTATAATTCGCAGAGGTTATTTACTAGAATTTTCTAGAAAGGTACGAATTTGTCTATTGCAGGTGCTCGTGTGAATTGGAAGTAAATTTGTACCTTGAGGTCGGAGGGTGGATTGGAACTTAAGGACACGCAAAGTTGGAATAGAGCGTGTCTGCTTCAGCTGATTAAAAATGTGCTTGCTAGTTAGGGCTCTCTTTGGGTGGTGTGGATAAAAGAGTACGTGGGAATAGTCTTTTACCCTTAAGTTGGTTTGGAATGTTTTTTTTTATTGCATATGGGAGGAGATGAACTCTGAACTTTATGGGAAGCATAGCAGAGATCATGAGGCTGTTTTAGACGTTGTAAAGAGCTGGTTCGTGTTCGTTTAGGTGGTACGGTGAATTTGCCTCTTTGCTCTAATTGGGGATTCCTTCGTAGGGGAAATTTCTAGTTTTTCTTTACATTAGTTGGGTGTGAATTTCCTGCAGCAGGTTTTCGGTTTTCTTAGATAATTGCAATAAAAGGTTTATCTTATAAATTAAATTGATTTATTTCATTCATCGTGAAATGATTATTATCAAAAAGTAATATTTGATCTTTTATTTATTAATAAAATAGATTTAAAGTTTTTAATGAAATATCTTTTGAATCTTTCAAATCCTTATTTCATCGATAATCTTGGTGAAAATGTTGAATTTTTTTTCAAAGTCAAGACAGAAAAATAGGAAATACATTCACATTCTTCTTCTTCTTTTTCTTCAATATAATTGAAAATAATTTATCATCGAAATTCCAATTTTCCAGTTTTGTCCTTTACTTGAGGTCTTCACTAACGTGCTTACTGGGCGGCCAATACTCGGAAATCGGAATAATTATTCCATTCTTACCGAATTCTTCTTCTTACTTTAAAAAACAAAAAATTGATAGCAGCCAAAATAAACAAAACTAGACAATCTCACTCTACTTGATATCTCTCATAATATATTTCGTCTATTTTTAATAAAAATATAATATTATATTTGATAAGATATGTACCACTAATGATATTAGAAGCTAAAAAGAATATTCCCTTTCCTATACAAGTTAATTAAATTTGTTTTTTTAATAAAAAATAATTAAATTTGTTTTATATTAATTAACATGTATTTGGTGTATAGTTAAAAATACGTTGTATAGAATTTAAATCTTAATATTATTCCAATAATTAATAACAAATTCCAAATATAAACTATAATGTATAAAAGAATACTAAATTAAATTTATTTTGATATTTATTAATTTGATGAATCAATATTATCAAATCATGAAATGATATTTAACGGTGGGAGGTGCCTTCAATCAGAATTCAAATAGACTTAATAATAAAATACTAAAGATTATATTTTTATTGGATAGATATCTTAGCCAACTTGCATTTGTCCCATATAGGGTTATCATATTTGATATGGACCAACATTGTTTTGATTTAAGCATATATTAAATATTAAGGTAATGGAGTTTAAGAAAACCAAACCATCCACCGGCAAGTTGAAAGAATTTATTAATGGGAAACGATACATTAGCATCCAAGTACATTATCATGAAAACGAATCTCTCTCTTATAATATAAGATAATGTTCTTTAAGTTGTTTTCTTCTTTTCACAATGAAATCATATTTTATTTATAATTAATTAATTTTTATCAACCAGTCATACATATATCTTTTAAATATTTTTTTAAATTACGCATACTTTTAAAATATATACTTAAACATAAAATCTATGTCAATAAATATTTTGTGTAATGATAAAATATATTGTACTTAAAAATAATATTATTAGAAAATAACTATAATTTTCAAACATAAATAATAATAAAAATGAAACTTGTACTAAATTTATCAAAAAGTTTGGTATGTTTTGATATAAATCTTTATAACGTATTTCATTGATTTTTTTTTTTGAACAATCTCTATTTAGGGGAGGGGACAAGAGAATTTTGCTATTTTATTGATATTTTAGGGAAGAGAGGAGGAATTAACTGAGTTTTTAACAACTTATTTTATAGATTATTGACATATGCTATTTTAGTGATATTTTATATAACAATAATGATCTTTTATATATTTTCTAATATCTAATGGGATTTTAATTATTACTGATATAATTATGATATTATTTAATGGAAATTGTTTAACGTATTGGCGATGATTTTTTAAAAACATTTTTAAAGGATAACAAATAATATAGGAAAGAATCATTGCGTTTTTCATATATATTTGTAATCCATTCATATACAAAGGATTTTGGATGTTCAATGATCCAACTGGTAAGAATATATGCCAAATTTCATGAATGTGGTTGCTTAAAGATCATCCAAATTTGATTGTAACAACTAATGGAACTCAATCAATTTGCAAGTTCAATCGCCAAATGTTACCAGTTTGCTTCCAATCTTTTCTCCTACGCTCTCTTTCTTCTTCTTCTTCTTCCGTACAAATCCAAAAATAAATTAGTATATATGATTTAACCATTAAGCTTCATATTATATCCATATAGGTCATGTTGATCAATTTTTAAATAAATTAAATAAAAAATAAAAATGTTAAATTTCATTTATTGAAAACGAATCATGTGGGTGATTAAAATAATATCTCTACCAATTAAGCATCAAGTGTTCCAATCTTAAAACTTTAAGCTTGTATTTTTTATAAGACGAGAGATTATTTGAAATCAAAGTAAGACTGGAGGGAAAATGCAATAATAAATGGGGGGGGGGGGATTTGCACCGCAAATGTTGCTTTCAAAGGAAGGACGTCAACCACTAGGCATAGCTAATAACATGAGATGCATGCACTTTGCTTCTTTTATCACTTCCACACCAAAAGAATCCTTTACTATTTGGCAATAAAAACACTAAAAGTAAGAGATAGAGAGGTAAGATTACATCATAGATAATATAATCCAAAATTTTAAATTCAAGAACTGCAGGCCGTAGTTGAATGTCTAATGTGCAAACCACTTTCATTTACCAATAGGCTAACAGTCGAATATGTTGTTGAGAGGTTACACTTGTTACACTCTCCGTTCTCCAGGTGTTGTTTTGGAATGAACAACTCTAACACAACTTAAGTATACATATGATTATATATTACACTCTTAACCATCCATCAATTAATATTATCACTGGTTGATGAAATAACTTCACCACTAAAAAGCTAACAGATTAATGAGATAAACTTGTTATAATCTTAATATTATCTGTTAATTAAGTGTCAATTCTCTTTTATCATATTTCATCACGTGATACCAAGGACATAGAATATATAGTCGACCTTTTTTCATAAGAGAGCTCATGTAATTCATTCTCTCCAACTTCCCTCTCTATCTTTCCCCAGACTCATCTTCATTCTCTGTTGTCGGAACATAGCCCTCGTCCACACCAAAAAGAATAAATCAGGATGGACCAATCAACTAACCAACCTTCGTTTTCAACTCGTTAAACCACCCTAAACCATCGTACTTCATGTTGAACATCAAAAAAACTAATTGCAGTTTCATTTTAATTCAATGTATACACTGCAAATCAAACCTCTATGGAGTAAACCAGAGCTTCTCGGTTCTCATGCTGGTATATGCTACATGCTTGAGAACAAGAAGCTCAAAAATTCCATTGCTCAAACAAAATCTGCATAGTTTGGGCCACACAAAAAAAAAAACTCCACCCACATCCATCCATTCGTACCTATATACATGAATTCCACTTAACTGAACTGAGACGTGAAGATGATGCTCATATTAATGTCCAAGTAAAAGACGCATAGCAGAAGTAAATAAAAATTCTTTATTGAATTAATACCCTCCAATTATGTACATTGATTGTGAATCTAATCCTGGAAGACTCAACATCCTTGAGGGAGAAACTGTTACAGGTATAACCGACTAACTTTGCTACTGGACCACACTTCAAAAATGTATGTAAGCTCGACCTCATACAAAGTTTATTTGGTGAGGGATTGAAACTAATGGAAGTCTTAATCTACAGCTTAAAAGAATGGAATGTACAAGTTCGATGGCCTGACTCAGGGTCAATTGTAACAAAAGAGCTTTAAACATGACACAAAGCTCCTCGATGG